TATTATTATTTTAATTCATGGCAGTGTATCCCAAATACTACTTTCCCAAGTGTTTTGAACTTTAACTCCCAGAATCCTTGATAATTGACCAAGGCAGGTGAGACTTCTAGTAGTTGAAGTCCAAAATACCTAGAGAACTAGAGCTTGATTTATAACTTGTCTTTCTCCCAATACTGGGACTCAAGGTGTGCCTCCAATTTCTTCCAGCCTATGCTAACCCTAAAGTGAATCTATCACAGGGGGCAGTTCTACACTTACAACTGAAGTGAGATCAGTCCAGCATCTGCCCTGAGTCCCTTCGGGGAGACAGAGCAGAATATAAATAAAGTACAGGGTTAGTCAAAATGAATAGGCCAATAAGAAAATTAATTTTAGACGAATGTATGTTTATTGTAACCAAACTACAGCTACGTAGCGACAGATAAACTATCAAAGTTTTGTCTCACCTTCAGAGATGTTCGATATGGGCGCCCCGTGTGACACGGCAGATGTCCAAGCGATAGTCCAGTTCATTCCACATCCGTTGCAGCACATCCGACGTAATGGCATCGAATGCAGCAACGTCTGGGAAGGTGTTCGTTGAGGTCCTAACCCTAACCCTAACCCTAACCCTAACCCTAACCCTATCCCTAACCCTAACCCTAACCCTAACCCTAACCTTAACCCTAACCCTTATCCCTAACCCTATCCCTAACCCTAACCCTAACCCTAACCCTAACCCTTGAAATTCTCGCTGGACCGTAATTACTGACATTGTTTTAGCAAATGTCATCACACAAAACGCCTTCTCTTTGCTTGATTCCGCCATTTTGAAAACAGCGACCCCTAGCGATGCCTAGCGGCATTAACGTACATGTGTGTTGCTCAAAAAAAACTTTGATAGTTTATCTGTCGCTACGTAGCTGTGGTTTGGTTACAGTAAACATACATTCGTCTAAAATTAATTTTCTTATTGGCCTATTCATTTTGACTAACCCTGTATTATTATTATTATATTATCCCAAACACTAGATCAGTTATGTTTGGTGACACAAAAGGGAATCCCTGAATCACCACAGCAGTGGAAGGGAATCATGGTATCTCTTAAATAAAATGGCAAAATCAAGGTTTATTTTATGGGTTTTCTTTAATGGGAAGGGGATATTTTGAAGCCATGCATGTATATTGAGGGGGGGGGGTAAGCCTAACAGCTTTCATATCAAGAATTATTAAGATACCAATCATATACAGCTTTGTCTAAACTAATCACATGAATTAGTTTAGACAAAGTTTAGAACTATGAATGTTCCAAAAATGTAATTTTCCAAGCTCTGACATTGAAAATGCAGGGCTTTCTTCTGAGTAAACATGCTTATTAAGATAGCTGAAATTTTTATTTCTATCTAGTAGGTACAAGTATAGTTTTTATATAATTATATTCATTATATAATTATTTGTAATATCTAAAATACAAGGATATTTTTGAAATTGAGCAATTAAATGGAGCTGATATGAAATTACTATATCTCTGTAACCACCAACTGCCCATGAATGAAACTTTTACCACTTGAAAGAGTGTGGCAGAGAGTTTCAAATGATTTTGCTAGATGCCTTTCTCAGAGCACAAACCGCCCCTAGCCTCAGTCATTGGTAAGATGGCAATCTCACAATATAAAACACTGTAAAGTAAGTAAGGGAGCCCCCAGTGGTGCAGTGGGCTAAACCACTGAGCTGCTGAGCTTGTTGACCAAAAGGTTGCAGGTTTGAATCCGGGGAGCAGCATGGGCTTCCGCTGTCAACCCTAGCTTCTGCCAACCTAGCAGCTCAACTGTGAGTAGATCAATAGGTACCACTCCAGCGGGAAGGTAACGGTGTTCCATGCAGTCATGGTGGCCACATGACCTTGGAGGTGTCTACAGACAACGGCAGCTCTTCAGCTTAGAGATGGAGATGAGCACCACACCCCAGAGTCGGACACGACTGTACTTAATGTCAGGGGAAAACCTTTACCTTTTATCTAAGTAAGACTCAGTAAGTAAAGGAATTGTAGTGCAGTGTGTGCTTCAACAGTGTTTGAGGAGATTTTGTGTTGCAGAGGTATAGCGATTTCAAATTGGGTCCATCTTTTCGAAACACCCTGCATTATGGCATTTATGCTGGTTATTCTTCACTTGCTAAGAAAGTGACCAGAGTTTCATTGTGGGAGTTGTATAGTCTGTTTTTCATTTGACTGGAGAGTTGAAGAATGTCAAGTCAGCGTCATTAAGCTAAACCAAAGCCATCAGAAATACAAAGGATCTTGAACAAGAAGAGAATCCTTTCTTTTTTCAAAAAAAGTTTAAACTTTCTGTTACCTTGTTATTTTCAATTTAAGATGGAAGGTTTCTCTCACTTTCTATTTACAGATGGAGGTTAGCAATTATTTATTTTTATCTAGGCTAAGTTAGCAAATGTGTATCAGGAAGAATTGGTTGCACCAAACACCATTATAAGAAAGGAAAGAAAATGCATCTCTAGTTCCTCAGATTAGCCCAACTTACAGACATTTTACAAGAAAAGAAGATCTACATCTTAGTCAATGCTTTTCAGTTGATTATCCCCATAACTTTCTGTAATGTTTTCCAAAGCAGACAACACGCTGTGAAGGAAGTTTGGATTAAGAACACTGCACAAGTCTATGATACGTGATTTTTTGTCTTTTTAAATAAAACTGAGCAGCAAATTAAGTTAGTAAAATAAGCAAATAAGACAGACATGCTAATTTCATGTGATATCATTATACTACTCTGTAGGTACATACAAGTATGGCAATAATTGTGGAAACAATGACCAGAATTCACTAAGGTAGTTACAAATGCAGAATTCTTCATGACTGGTTTGTTTTCATCTTCTCTGTTTTATGGAATAAGTAGAGATTGAATGTCCACCAGTCCCCACTTAACAGGTAGTATCTACTGCCAATTATGGGGGTCTGTTCTCATTGGTTGAGAATAAGTTAACTCACATTCCCACTTGTGCTGAGTTGAGAATCCTTTTCATATGTACTTTCAAGTCAGATATATAATTTTTCCAATCCTAAATATAGTGCATTGCAGGTACCCAACTAAAATATATTCTGCTAGTTTCGACCACCCAGTTCTCCAATCTGTTAGTCATTTTGAATTTTGATCTTGTTTCCCAGGATATTCACTACCCACCTGCTCTGCATATGATTTCATCTGCAAACTTGATAACCATGACTTCAGTTCCATCAACTGAAGGCATTTTTATGTTGACAACTTAGATCCATGTGCAGATGGAGCAGCGCCACTGTGGCTAATCCAGACTAACTCCCTTCCTCCTTCAAGTCTTCTTAGCAACACTCTGGCAGAATCCTACTGGATCTCTGATTATAAGCTAAATGGTTGAGCCACAGCTGAGGCCAGCCATATAGACATGTTGAACAATGGAAGGTACTTGTCAGTTGGAAGATTGCCCATCTAACTGAACTGCCCAACTAACCACATAGCTTCTTGTATGATGAGAAGATTGCTTTAACTTTACTTTGTGTCTTGTTATATGGACTGATTGTTCTGTTATCACTTTTTAAAGTTACCAAATAGAGTTGCATGAAAGATAAAATGACAAAGCAAACATTGCATGTCTAATGGAAAACATTTTGAAAAGGATGCTTGTACAGTATTTGTATAGAACCACATGACTATAGAGCAGTAGGACATTCATTAAAAATAATAGATACATAACAACCATTACCAGTTAATGGATAGGTCCATGGGAAAAGGACCATGTCTAAAGCTATTGAAACAGACACACATTTTTCACCTCAATTATCATGGCCACTTGGGTAAATATTCTCAGAGCTGCATTTTACAGTTGCTGATAACACTCAAAAGCTTCTTATAAGCCATTTGCACAAATCTCCACTACCAGCTACAATTCTTTAATTTTTCACACTCTGTACATTCTTCTATTTAGAGAAGGATATAATATCATGTAGATAATGAGCTCAGCTCATACTTTATATTGAAAATAAATCAATGTAATAAGGGGCAAAGCAAACGAAAGTGTTGATATTACCCTAAGTTGGATTATTCTTTCAGAAACCATCTGTTGATTATGCTTAAACCTGTTGGCAACAAGGGAGTGAATCAAATTCCCTCAATCCTTATTTGTTCACTATGCACTTTGCCAGCAGTGCAAAAGAGGACAGAGACAGATTTAAGAAGTTGTCAAATAGCCAGCAACAATAGAGGAGTACCACATCAACCTCTGGAATGGCCTAATTATATGTTTATGCAAAGAACTCTGTCTAAAGATTTAATATCACTAACTCAGAGCAGACTTGCATTCAGAAAAGAGAAATTCATAGGAGCAAAAGGGAGGCTATGTTGGATCAGATCAATGGCCTAGCTAGTCCAGCATTCTGGTTTGCACAGTGACCAATTAGATGCCTAATGGAAGCTCACAAAAGGCATGAATTCACCAATACCTTCCAACATATGTTCTCCAGTTACCGCAATGAACAGACCTATTGACACTGATATTAAGGTGAATATATAGCCATTATTATTAGTAGACACTTTTAGTGCTATACTCTGATAATTTGACTATGTAAATCAGCTAGAAGCAAAATCTAAAAGAAATGCCAAAAAAAACCCCTACAACTATTTCAAGCACATTTAGTATGTAGAGAAGGCTAGTGGTGCTTCTGTGGTGGTGACAATATGAAAGGGTGCTCCTCAGTTATTTCTCCATCATACATTGCATATTAGTAAATGTTAGTAAACATTTAAATAAAAATGCATTGTGATTTAGTTCAGCTCAAAAGGTGGGATCAGTTCTAAACACAAAATTTGTGATCTCTTCCACAATTTCAGAAAAAATAACTAAAATCTCTCATCAATGAAAAGTGCATGTACATCAGTTGAAAAATATTAGTAAAATCTTCAAAACTAGCAAGGAGAGCCAAGTGAAAACTTGATATTCCCCATGTCTACATCTGCCAATTAAAACAAACTCACCTTGAACTCACTATGAGCAATTCATGTGCACTATGGTCAACTCTGCAGCAGAAGTGCTGTTTCCAGCCTTTAATAATCAGAATAAGAACCACAACTCTGGAGCAACACCCAGTATTGTGTGTAGATAGATGAATTCAGCTGGATCTGGGACAACCCAGTTTCCACACATCAGAAAGACCCACTGCGGTTTCATCAATTGGAAGCAGTCCCTGGCAAAGCCTTCCTGGCTATGTCACTTCTTGTTATACCATGGCTGGAAGCCCTGTTATGACCTCACCAGAAGTGATATTGCTAGCAAGTCTCTGCCTGCTCACTGCTTCTGCCTGTTAAAACAGCAGCAGTGGCAGCAGCCCCCAGGAGGACAGGGCACTAGCATCAATCTACTGTTGGTCCTATCAGCCAAGTGAACTGTAAAATGGCTTCAAGGTACTTCCATGCTGTTGCAAGTAGACTCCAGATGGAGTATCCAAGGAAGTTCCAGAGCAGAGTAGTCCAGAACTGCTTGGTATATCCAAACAAGAATGCCTGGTTAGATCCAGGGTAACTGTGGTGAAAATTTCCTCACTAAAGAAATGGCCCTGATTCTTTCTTAGTTCACAGGTTCCTATGTCCCTGGATAATCTCCACTGAAAATTTGAGAACAGTGGGTGTGGGAAACAGGGAAGAAAAATCAGTGCATCTCTGTCTTTTCTTCTTTCAATGGGAGCTTCTCCATTTCATATATTCATTTCAATTAGTAAAACAAAGTAAGGTTTTAGCAAAATCATTAAATCATTAAATTATTAACATCACCACCAAGTTCAGAATTAGTTGAAGATTAATACCTACAAAAACATTATTTCAGTACTTTGTTGTCTAAGAGGTGGTTGTTTCCACTACAGCTGAATTTTCATTCACTACACAACTACTTGAATGGACAGTCATTTATGATTTTTAAAACAAAAATGCATGTTGGAGTCTTACTAGCCCTGATCTTGAAACTAATCCTACTGAAACACATAACTTACTGCATCCCGTTTTGCAGATATTCTTACCAAACTAGAAAATATTTGAATGTCATCTATTAATACTTCTACACTCCTTTAAAGTATACAATTAATATTTACTTTAGCAGCTCACCTTGACCTTACCTTGCTGAGTCATATGAAATCTGAATCAGTAGTGTAGAAGTAGCTCTACTTCCTTATCAGATTTTCATTTTTTCCTCAGAGGGTGTGTTAACTAGGCTGTTTAAAGTTGAAATATATCAGAATGCTATTATTTTAACATATCCATTCTTTTACAACAAACCGTACAATTAACTAATAGATGAAATTTTGATATATTAGATAGCTTATATATGGTACGTTGAAAGATACAAACTAATCACAAATTTTGAACTTCAATTTTATACCTAATTTTTGTTTGTGTATATATATGTTGTATGTATATGTGTTTTAATATGTGTATTTTACAAAGTGTTTTTTTAATGATTATGTGTTTTGATTGTGTGTTTTAACAATGTTGTAACTTTCCTTGAGCCGTGAGGGGGAGGGGAAGAAAATGATGATAATAATAATAATAATAATAATTATTATTATTGCAGAAAAACCTTTGAAGAGTGTGCCAGTAATTTGCAGACATTTTGTACCATCATTTTGTACCAGCATTTGAAAGACTGTCATGAGTTTTAGTGAAGAAAGCAGTGTTTTTGCCTTTATGATCTCGGATAATGATTTCATTTTAACAGATATACATGTTAACCTGTCAGTAGGTTAACTCTTTGCAAATATCTAGTATGTCACCAGGGAAGAGAGAGGGTGTTGAGTGGATGGAGGGAAACACACTATACAGAATTATAGTTGTTGCATCTAATTCTTCATCTCTGTTACCCTTAGACACATTACTGAAGGTATTAAACATGTTACAAATTCCATATATTTTCTAAAACAAAAAGAGAAATAATATCATCATCTAATTTTAAAACCTAATAGTCATCTTCTTATATTTTCTGTATTATTCCATGTTCTTGTCTTCTTCTCCAGTTCTTCTTCATTAAAAGTTTGTCTTGATTGTTCTTATTTAGATGATTTCTTTTAACTCTTTAACTCTTTTATCAAATTTTAATTATTGTCTAAATAATCTAAGGGTTTAGCTTATTCTGTTAGTTATTAGGGCTGTGCAAAAATTTGGACACAGGTCGTAAGTCGTATGTGTTTTGGAAAATCCGTACTTGCGACCCAATTTATGAAGCCTGTGTCTGACATCAGAGCCAAAGTTGACAAAAGGCAAGAGAAGCAGAAAGCCTGTAGTGGGTTTGCATTTCTTTTCTGTTGAGGTACCAAGTGCCCATGTGGGGATCAATGGATATATGAACAGCCCCTGTTTTCCCATATTTTTAAAAATGAATTAATCTCATACCTTCTAACTGTCTCAATTTTTGTCTCTGAAGTTATCTGGGGAAAATAGGGGAGACCACTGATTTCACAACAATTTCTGATGTAATTATATTGATGATCCCACTGTGGATGCTTCTAGACAGCAGCAAATTGTGAGTTTTAATCAGGGGCAAAAAATCCTGGCTTCTTCAGAAGAGAATCACTTACAGACCTGTTGGTCCAGGGATTTCTGTCTCCATCATCCTCACTTGCTGTTTCATTGCAGGATTTAGAGGATCCCAAGATGGCTGTTGCAGGACGTCAGGGTTTTATTTTTTAAAAAGAAACTCAAGATGTGAATATGTGAAGATGTGAATCATTGTATAAGTTACATTCCTGGGTTCTATAGGTTGCAGGACCATCTGTGCAGACAGGTTGTTGTTCCTGAATTATATATGTCTGTTCCTGATTATTGTGAAAAGTTGTACAATATGGACTAGGGGGCCACAACTTTGTCCTGGCCAGATAAAATGTGCCCTCCACAACAAAGTTTTTGCATTCTACTCAACTGTCATTTTTTTAGGAACTGACCAATCAGGAACAAACAACTAAAACCCAGGAAAAAACCTAGACAAATAATCCTGTGATTTCTGATTGCAGCGACATACAGACATTCGAAGATGCAGATTTTCAGCTCAGAACCAAGATATTCTCACACCTGAAAAAATCGTTTATAGCTATTGCTTCCTCATTTACAGGGAATGACATCTGACTATACTCCTGTTTGCTGCAGAAGCTGCTGGGATCAAGGTACTGTCTGGATGGGTCGTGGGTCTTGCCATTGAAATTCTGCCTTAAGATAAATTCAAAGCAAATTTGGGGCTCCTCGTCTATTAAATTTACTGAGCAAATTTCAAATTTTCATGACAGTCAAAACTGTGTTGAAAATTTGAGTGGAAAAATATTGGGCTGCTGAACTATTTTTAAGAGGATAATACTGTAATGAAGTTGTCATAATTGGCACCTTTAAATGAAAATTAAATTTCATTGAGTTATACGAGTAAGACAATCAAATAGAAAAGTTTGCTCTTCTGACTTCTTCTTTGGTATCATTTTATTTGTATGCCATTTTCCTGTTGTGTACAGTTCAAAATATTGAATGTTTTATAATGTAATAACAATTTTTAATATTTTGTTAAAACCTACAAGATATAATATTTAAAACAACACCTATCACATTTAGCCCTGATAGAGTTGACCCATTAATCCATCCATTATTTATCTATTAACCCACCATTCAACAATTGAATGCATCTACTCTAGTTGCCAAGCTTAGTGAAATTAAACCATTCATATATATATATATATATATATATATATATATATGAATTGTTAAAGAATTCATACTGAAGGCTCACTGCTTTTCCACTGTAAGTATAATGATTCAGAAAAAGGCAAGTGTGACTAATCAACCATTAATGCTGTTGACCTAGTGCTATCATGATAAAGAGCTTCTAAAGTTATTTATTGTCTCGATCTTGCTTTGCCTAATCCTTAGCTAGTAGTTTTTGAAAGATAATCACTGGATACCAGGATCATTTATCTGTAGAGTACTTGTCCACATGCTTAAAGGAATTCAAATCTAGTTGTTTAGAATCATAGAGCTGGAAAAAAGGCCATCCAGTCCAACATCCTGTCCTACAGGGACATATAATCAAAGCACTACTGACAGATAGTATACATTGTCAATATTCAGCCTAGGCTTCATATGCATTGGAGCTTATTTTGGGCAGCTGCTTTCAAATACAGTATGAATTCTATATCAAAGGGGAATGCATTCCATGACCTCATGGGTACTTGGAATTGCAGATAAATACCAACTCTACATTTGACTGTACTTGGGCCAGAAGCATACCATAGAATCACATTGGAAGATCTCGGGTGAATCTATATGATCAAATTAAGGGAGCTTGACACAAGTTACATTTATTTATTTATTTATTTACTGTATTTATACCCCACCCTTCCCAACCCCGTAGGGGACTCAAGGTGGCTTACACATATAGGCAAATTAGATGCCAAAAAACACACATAATAAAAACATAAGCATTGCAACACAATAAAACTTAAAACCAATTATTTAAAATCACACGATCCAATATCATAGACCTCATTAGTCTTTCATAATCCTTTAACACTATCCATAAACATGTATACAGGATTGATTCAATATATGTTGTTTACTTAAAACATTTTAAAAAATCATTTGACAACCTTCCTCACCAAACAGTCTTGAGCAAACATTAATGGCTCAATGCTATGGAATCCTGGAAGTTTTAACAAGGATTATTTGGCAGAGAAAAGTGAAAACCTTGTAAAACTACAATTCCCATATTTCCATAAGATTGAGCCATGGCACTTAAATTGGTGTCCAACTACATTGATTCTACCATGTATATGTGCCCCTAGAGAGGCCACAAACACTTCTTTTTTTGAGCCTGTTTGGTTGGATCTACACTGTCATGTACTTCAGTTACTGAATGCAGATTAACAGCATTGGATGGAATTATATTGCCATATTGTGCAGATGTGGCCTCTAAGGGTGCTTCCAAACAGGCCCTATATCCCAATATCTGATCCCAGATTATCTGGCAGTGTGGACCCAGTTTTAAGCAGAAAATCCAGGATCAGATCTTGGGATATAGAGCCTATCGGGAAGGGCCCCAAGGACTCTTCCAGACAACTGCTTAATCCAGAGTAAGGAAGTGGGATTAATAACCGTGGTACCTCAAGGAGAGTCCACACATGGAGCTCTCAGTCCTGGGTAATGATCTCACAATTTCTAGAAGGGTTTGGATAATGCAAATGGTATGG